GAAGGCAGCCGCTCATGGCGGTGGAAGGAAGGCAGCTCATGGTGGTGGAAGGCAGCTGCTCATGGCGGTGGAAGGAAGGCAGCTCATGGTGGTGGATGGCAGCTGCTCATGGCGGTGGAAGGAAGGCAGCTCATGGTGGTGGAAGGAAGGCAGCAGCACAGCAAAACCAAAAGGGAGGTGCGGTGGCAGCGGCAGCAGCAGGGCACATCTGCCTCCCGTGAGCCTTGCCGTGGGAAGCTGAGGTGTGTGGGGAAGCTGTGGCGTGGCCAGTAGCCGGCCACTTGTGGATGGCAGCCTGAGCCTGTCTTGACCTCCCGGCTCACGCTGTGCATCACTGCATTCTGTGTCAGGCTAGAACAACACTGGGCTTTGCGCCTTACTCTATTCTTGGACAAGCCACAAAGTCTATTTTGAGCCTTTGTCTCAGTTTGAAAGATGAGAGACAGTAATACTTGCCTGGTTCAATTAACAGGGTATTTATATCAAGAGTTATTATTTTGTATTTTAGGGAAGGGTCTACAGGGTGTTCAGGGTCTCACTACTAGATGAGAATCGTAGTGATTCTCCTGTTTACAGCCTCCCAAGTGCTGGGATTACAAGTGTGCGCGCCGCCACACCCAGTCTCAATTGGGGTTGGGGCCAGCACGGCAGGCTGGAGGGTTGAACCCCAGCCCCTGTGCCTGCTTGCAGGTACTTTAATCCATTGAGCTAATTGGCCAGTCCTATGAGAAACAATTATGCAAGTACTTGTAAAAAAGCAAAGTGACAGAATGCAGGTAGAATCAATTCAGTGCTGGGATACAGAGGTGGAAATTTTTACTACTTAAAAATTTTCGGGGGCTGGCCAGATAGTTCAGCAGATTAAAGCACCTGATTAGGCATATGCAGGGGCCAGGGGTTCGATCCCTGACCTGCCATGCTGGTCCCATGCTGGGCGCACTTAGATGGCAATTGAGACTGGGTGTGGTGGCACACACCTGTAATCCCAGTGCTTGGGATGCTGAAAACAGGAAGAATCACTACAAATCCTATCGGTGTAGAGAGACCCTATAGACCTTGCACTAAATACATTTAAAAAAATATTCTGATTGTTTTTAGAAGAATAAAGGAAAAGGTCTCAGATGTATTAGTAAATAGACTTAAAAATTATTGAAACAGACCTTTTATGTGCTAATATGTCTGGGTTTTACAGACATTAAAGTGCAAACAAGTCACTTTCTTTTTTTCCAACCACTATTAGTGCCTGAATTGTTTGTAGGGTTGGTTGTTAGTAAGTATGTGAGTACAATAGGAATCTGAACTCTAATGGCTTTTTTCTTCATTTTTTTCTTTTAAAATGAAGATGACTTGTCATTAATTCGGAAGAACAGAATGGCTCTCTTTCAGCGCTTGACAAGTATACTTCCTATCCTGGATAATCTGTTAAAGTCCAATGTAATTAATAAACAGGAACATGAAATTATTAAACAAAAAACACAGATACCTCTACAAGCAAGAGAACTGATTGATACCATTTTAGTTAAAGGAAATGCTGCTGCCAGCATCTTCAAAAACTGCCTAAAAGAAATTGACTCTACATTATTTAAGAACTTATTTGGTGAGTTTGTTGGGAAAATTATTTTAGAAATCTCTTGGATTATGTTTCTCTCTCTGCTAGACAAGCAGAGTAAATCCAATTAATATAATCTATCCATTTCACTTGTTCCAAAAAAGTGATATTTTTATTGTCCAAAATGTAATTGTTTTTGATAATATATAGATTGAATCTGTATCCTTCAGTAGGTAGTAGTTAAAAAATAGTTTTGTATTTGATAAAGTGATTTTTTTTAATATGCTTTCTTCCTCAGTGGAAAAGAATATGAAGTATATTCCAACAGAAGATGTTTCAGGTAAAGTAGAATTAAGACTTAAGACCAACATGCTATACTAACTATTACCTTTGTAGGGAAAGTAAAGTGGAAACTGAATTTCACTAACACTTTTATTACTAGGTCTGTCTCTGGAAGAGCAGCTGAGGAGGCTACAGGAGGAGAGAACTTGTAAAGTGTGCATGGACAAGGAGGTTTCTATTGTGTTCATTCCCTGCGGCCACCTGGTGGTGTGCCAGGAATGTGCCCCTTCTCTACGAAAGTGCCCTATTTGCCGGGGTATAATCAAGGGTACTGTGCGTACATTTCTCTCATAAAACAAAATAGGTTGTTGTATGCTGCCTATACAGAAAAGTCTTTAAAGTTTTGGTGAACATTTGAAATTATTTGAAACAAAAAAGAAATTATTGGTTCTTCACCTGTTAATATTCATATTCTATTCTGCTTTGGTATTAAGAATTTTGTCTCAAAAAAGGTATTATATATTTAATCTTAATGTTTAGTTGCCAAGGAGGGCTGTTGATAAGCTGAATCTGTATATTTGAAAACACAGGAGTAAAACACAGCGTGCTTGTTGGGATCCTTTAGGAGTTACTGTACCTGGTGTTCTTAGTGAGAGCTTTGAGTACTAAAGAGCTGCAGCTTGCAGGTACAGCACTAGAAACCAGTAGCTCTGGGATTGGTCAGTTATGGTGCCTGAGTCTGTCTTGCTATTTACCTGCTGTAAAAATGTACTTATGTTGTGCCTTGTCACTGGTAAACGAGATATCCTCTAGTTGGTGAGAAATGTCTTCATAAAGTATGTTGAAAGGAACTACAGCATCAAAATGTGTTTTCTACTGATTGAAAAAGCCTTTTTCATATATTTCATTGTACTATTACTAAGTAAAAGATTGAATTCATTAAAACAAAATGAAATAATGATTTATATGAATTCCCTGTCTAGTTACTTTACATCATATGCAAATTTGCATGAAAATTGAGTTGGTATCAAAATCTCTTAATAGTAAAACTAGCTAAATTCACACTAAGGTTGTTTGTTTGTTTGTTTTTGTATTTTAGGGAAGGGTCTACAGAGTGTACAGGGTCTCACTACTAGATTGGACTCACTGTGATCTGCCTGTTCACAGCCTCCCAAGAGCTGGGATTGCAGGCATGCACCACCACACCCAGTCTCAATTGCAGTCTCAGTGCGCCCCCGAGGGTGGAGCCAGCCCAGCAGGCCCAGGGATCAAACCCCTGGCACCTGCGCCTGCTTGCAGGCACTTTAATCTGCTGAGCTATTTGGCCAGCCCTACACGAAGATTTTTAAAACAGTGTGATCGCCCTGTTTGCATAGGTAGTGATGGGGTGAGGAAAGCCCCTCACGGAAGGATTACACCTGGGTTATTACTAATCTTACAAAGGTTTCTGGTTTACTCCCTCAACCCCATTTCTTTCATTTGCCGTTAAGTCTGTTTTGCGTAACTGTTTCCAAGGGTACAGTTAGTAGTTTAGAGCCCTCAGAATGTTGCTTGAGCAAGCTCCGCCTTCATCAGATCCCAGACATTTCCAGTACCTTCCAGCCTCACACCTTGGGAGCAGCTGGTACTCCTCTCCCTACCCCCAGCTCTCACCAACACCGTCTGCTTCCCATCTCTGTGCATTTGCCTGGTTTTGATACTTTATCTAAATGAATCAGGCAATACATGGCTTTTATGTATTTTTTTCATAAATGGTGTCTGAGGTTCTTCACATTGTAATTATCAGTACTTCATGTTTTGTGCATAATTGTGTGTGAATTTAAAAATTTTGATCCATCCATTGATAGACTTTGTTTCTACCCTCTGATTGATGTGAGCAGTGGTCCTGTGAATGTTTATGTACAAATATCTTGAATGCATTTTCAACTGTTTGGGGCGTAGACCAGGAGCCGATAGTGGCTCATGGACCAGTCACTTGGATTCACTGAAGACCTGCCAGACTTCCACAGCTGCCACACCGCTGTTTCTACCAGAAATTCTGAAGGATTCCCATTTCTCCACACTCAGTCAACACCATTTTTTTCCCTTTTTCGTGGGGGCGGGGGTATACTTGGAATCAGAGTAAAGACCTTGCACTTGCCAAGCAGGTGCTGCACTGTTGTACCCCAGCCCCTCCTTTTTAAAATTACACATATCCTAGTTAGTTCCTCGTAATGTTGTTCTGCATTTCCTTAATGGTGACGGTGGAACACATTTCCATGTGCTTGTATCTTCTGAGAAATGTCTGTCCAAGTCCTTGGCTCCTGAATTGGTGATCTTTGTATTTTGCATGCTAGATAGACCCTTACTGGCACACTCCAGACCACTTGGCTTTTTGATGATGTCCTTTGCTAAAAATACTTGGATTTGAACTTTGATTGGTTGATTGGGGTCACATGTTAAGAATCCATTGCTAGGTCCAAGGTCATGGAGACTTACCCTGTTGTGAGTTTTATAGTTTGCTTTTATTTTTAGGTACTGATCCACTTTAGTTTCTGTGTTTAGCCAGGAGCAGGAGGCTAGCTCTGTTCTTTTAGGTGTGAATATCGATTGTCCCAGCATCATAGTGGGGACGTTTTCCCCAGTGAGTGGTCCTGACGCCCTGTCCAGTGTCAGTGGGTCAGGGTTGTTTCTGGGTTCTTAGTTTAGTTCCACAGGCCTGACTGTTCTGCTGTCCTTGTCAGTGCTTCTTTGTACAACTTACTATAGTCTTGGACTAAGCTTTTAAATTGACGTATGTGAGTTCTCCTACTTTATTCTTGATTGTTTTATTCTTGCTATCAATATGAACTTGAGCAGAAAGCTGCTGGAATTTTGAAAAAGGCTACATTGGATCTGTAGCATGCCTTAGTGTTGTGGTACTGTTTGTCAGTCTGTGAACATGAGGGTGTTTTCTTGTTTATGTAGGTCTTTTTCATCAGTAGTTTATAGGTTTTAGCACACACATTTTTGATCTGGTTAAACATCACCTGTTCTGCTGGTATGACTACACCATGAGTTTTTTTTCAGTAGCCACTTTAGATTGTCTTTGCTGGTTATTCTGTGGTGGTCTTTTCCTACAGCTGTGCTGCACTGATAAGCTCAGCGGCTTTCTTACGGATTTTTTGGAGTTTGTACATTACAGTGTCATGCCATCAGCAGACATTTTTTATTGCCTAAAAGCAAACCAAACTGTCCCCTACTGTTAACTAGAAATGATGAATGAAAGTCATTGTCTTATGGCCCATCCTAGAAGGAAGCACCCTGCATTTCATCAGAGCACGTCAGGTATGGGTTTTATAATGACCAGCAGGTTGAAGAAATGCCCTCTATTCGCACATTTTTTTTGCCTTGAAAGTGTATTGGATTCTTTGGTTTTGCTGCACTGCTTTGTCCTCTTCTAAAGTGGTATGTTAGGTTACTTTAGGTATGCGAACTACCCTTGAACTTCTTGGAGAAATTGTGTCACATTTAATATTCTTGAATTTAGTTTGCTAATATTTTTGCTTAAGGAATACTGGTTTGTAGTTTACTTATGCTGCATTTGTGTAGCGGTAATTCTGGGCTCATAAAATGAATTAGAAAGTGTTTTTTCAGTTGTTTTAAAGAAAAACATTTGAGTGCCAAGTGGTTCTGAGCAAGTGTCTTCCTGATTACCCTTCTCAGTCTCAGTAAAACAAGCAATACAGGACAGTATGTTGGAGGGGACTTTTACTACATGGCTTCCTCCCACTTAAAAAAAAAAAGCGCTGGAGATTGCACTAATGGCCTCAGGCATGCTCACTGTGTGATTTGGTACAGGGTCTGTAGTGCTCCTCCTGTCTCAGGGATTACATTTGCTGGGATTACAGGTGTGTGCCACCATGCCCAGTTTCAGTCACCAGCACAACACACCCAGGGTTCCTGGGCCAGCTTGGCATGTGGTACTTGGAATCAAACCAGGGTCCTTGTGCTTGCCAGGCAGGCGCTTAAAACCCACAAGGTATCTCCCTGGCCCCTCTCAACTTTTTTTGTTTTGCAGAACCGCCCTCTCAACTTTTTGAAGCAGCCACAACAGCTTTAACTGGCTCTGAAATTTTTGAAGTAATTTTAAGAAATATTTTAATAGAACTTTGAAATGTCTGAGTAGTTGGGGAGCGATAAATCTAAACACTTTCAGACAATAAGCCACATCTTCCTGAGATGGGAATGAAAAGGGTTAGGACACAGGGTTGCATTTTGGTGGAAGACACAGGCGCTAGTCCTGCGGGGAGAGACGGGATGTGAGTTCCTCCGTACACATCTGCAATCTTCCAGGAGCTCAAGTCTCCAGTCTTATTTTCCTTTTAAGATTCTCATAAGATGATCAGCTAGTTATGTTAAACTCCCCCTTACTATAAACTCAACAGATATAAAATGTTGTATTTATCAAATGTTTCATTTTAAATGAACACTGCTTTAACAAACTTTCTTTGGAAATATTTTCAAAGGATACAATGAAAGACTATTTGTGTAATCACTCAGTGAAGCTGTAGTTGTGTCTGCCATCTACGGTGTCATTTATGAACTTGATTCTTTGTGTAGAACAAAGGCGATTAAGGTGCATCAGCTTAGGGTTTTCTGTTAACTTCTCTTGAATTTGACAAAGGAAAACTCAACACTTCCATGAAGAACAAATTTTATTTTAAAAATAGATCTCAGTAACAATGGAATACCAAAGCTGATCATTATAATAGAAAAACAAAAGGTAAGAATAGTTTGTTTTCTGAAAACACACAATTGTCATTGCAATACACTGCCAACTCTCACTTTTGTTTGGATTATTCCTTTTATGGACTATCTGAGGATATTTTTTTTAAAAAAATCAGAGTGGCTTCTGCATGATATTCACACATACATCTCTGGATTGTTTTTATCTTCAAGTAAGTATCTTCTCAAGGAATACAAGGAAAGCTGTCTGCTTGTTTATATAAGCATAACTGGGAAGACAAATTATGCTCAGGAAATATGTTTCAAAGTAATACAGTATTTTGCATTACCATTTCTGTAGATTAAAAACCTGTGATCAAAGTACTATTTGAAACTAACAAATGATATTGTTTATATACAGAGGAAAGACATAACTACATTACTTCCAACCCCCCACAGAGGAAACTTTCAAGGCAATGACAACGGTAATGTAAAAGTGGTTTTCTAGCTGCAAAGTGCTAACGAAGCAAGTATTCAGGAAAACTTCTGGTTGGTACTAAAATACCAAGAATGTAAGAGCCAAAGCAGATAAAAGCCCTCGCCACTATGAAGTCTGTTTTAGCTGTATCTCACACAGAACTGAAACAGTGGTTGCAGGATCAGGTAAGGCCCACTTGGTAGCACACAGCTTACCCATCAGCCCACACTTCTTCTCAAACTAAGCTCATGGTGTATGCTGCACACGATTTCCTCCATAGTGCATGATGGTCACACCCATATCTTAGAACAGGATGCCATCCACACTTGGCACATCAGTTGTCCATGATGCACCGCAAACACAAGTGATCCTTTCATCACAATA